AAAAAAAAAAAAAAAAAAAACTTTAAAAAAAAACGATTCTGGGTAAGACCGTCCTCGTGATTCCTGGATAAGCTTGTGAAGTTGTTTGATGAAGAGTTTCCTGAATCAAAACTAACGAGGCTCGTATCTCCTGTTTCAGGCTGTACCCAGGTATGGCAGGTCCGAGCTCGGCGCACCATCTGCCGCCTCCACCGGGGCTCTCGGCGAGCTCGTCACTCTCCTCGCTCTCCTCCTACTACCAAAGCATGCACGGTCTAGCGCCGCCTCCACCGCACTCGCCGCCCTCCCCGGAGTCTCCGCACAGCCCCAGGAGCCCCCTCCGGAGCCGCAGCCACACGCCCGAGTCCGTCGACGTCGAGGAGGGCTCCCAGTCGCCTCACGTCAACGTCTGATCCTCGCGCCTCAGCGCCCCTCCTTGTTGAAACTAGTCTCCGACCGTAGCGCCTCTCTTTCGATCTCAAGTCTCCGATTTTGAAACTGCTCAAACGACTCCTGTTGCCGTAACGATTCACTCATTAATGTGATCAATTTATCTTGGAGAGATTTTAACGACTCCTGTGAGTCCAGCGAACTTCTGTTGATGACGCACAGTTTTCATCCTTAGGATATTAATAGATAATATCATGAAAGATGTGGGATTCATGACTGCTAGCACCATTTTAAAGGGGTAAATTCTCATAATTTCACAAATTCTGTTGCCATCTACGAGAAGAAAAAAAAAGAGGCTTTGCTCTTACAATGATGTAAATCGATTCCAAGTTTTACTCACTCTTCCAGTTGGAGTGACAACGTTACTAATATGGTAACAGTTGCTTTGGTCCTAATGGCATTGTCGTCCCGGTCAGCATCGAACATGAACTCATTCTTGTACACCTCAAAAGTAACTTGGAGGTAGAACCTGGAACCTACTTTGAGTTTGGAAATGATCAAGGTTCTTTTTTCTCTAAATTGGCTGTTATTAAGTACGCTCTTTGAGTTCCCATGAAACCGAATAACGAGGAAGATAGTATTAGTCTGTGTGTTGTAATGAAATACTACCTTATGAGGGTTTAAAATCTCTTTAATGGTGTTTTATCATAAGATACGAAGTGATTAAAACACATTTAATCTTGTAGATTGACCGTATAGCTAGAAGCATACTGGAATTATAATACGAAAAAAATCGTTATACGTAACATCTATGATTTGCTCATTGAGTACAAACATTTCCTGTAAATGTAATTGAATTTTATCGACATAACCGTGTCACTCTCGGTGTCTTTTTCCTTGGATTCGTCAGTCCGTCCGATCAAATAATGTGAAAAAGTAAAAACCACTTCAAGATTAAAAGACTGATAAAGAGATCTTTGGACAAAATTTAGGTCACATTAGGAACACACGCGAATACATTCGCTTCGGCTGCAGTTGACGAATGACTTCATCTGTTATACGTCAGATGAATACAAAATGAACATATTAAATGATAGTTTGGGATAGCTCCCAATTATCTGAGCCCTTTTTTGTACCAGTTTCCACGAGTCTTGATAAAATGCTTGCATTCGAACAAGAGATGCGCGCACGGTTTCTGTTAATAATTGATGTGCACTTATATAAATACAGATAAACGCATTGTTTTAATTTCTTTGTTTGTAAATACATGCCTATTTTGTAAGTATAAATAATGTTTATAAGTGTAAACAGTTGTTTAAATGTAGGTGAACTTGTCTATTTTCAGTACTGAAGTACTCCTTAAAATTACAACTTGTTTCTGATGGATATCAAAACGATACTCCAGTTACATTAGTATACGTCTCGTTTGGATGTTCGGGGCGGTTTTTTTGGCCGTCGTCAGAAAAATGAAAATGTTGACGCTCAGTCACGGTTCGATTAAACCTTCTTAAGCCTCAACTAAAACAGGAAACACAATAATATGAACCTTGTGATATCAAGCAGTAAATTCTGAACTGAATCAACTGCCTTGTCCTGACCAAAACTTTAAAATTCTGAACTCCAGGGACACATTAACACAAACTGAGTGTTTACGCCATGTTTTAAGAGTGACCACTCCTTCGATATATGTTATGAGTAAGGTGGAAACCAATGGCTTCTATCTCTGACGGGGAAAAGTGAATTCTGGCATGAATTTAGTAAATTTTACTTTAAATATTTACATTTGTATCCTGTCAGGTAAAATTCAGCTCACTTCTCAAAATGAGTATATACCGCTCAGCATTTGTATCAATTTTTTTTGACAGCTGGAAACATTCTGTAGTTAAAAAAACTCCACATTACATTTTCAGATTTTCAAAAGTAATAGGACCTGTGATTAAGTTTCCTTACCAACGAGAATCAAGATAAGCAAAGAGCTTAAATAGACAAAAATGTAAAATTGCGTCTGTTTCCGTTGAAAATTATTCTTTTCTACCTATTCCTTTCGCAACTTGTGAGAACATAATTGTGATAATCACACGAAATTCGTCTTTAGTGCGACTTTAAAGCAAAAGTATGAGGATTTATACTCGTCCATGAAGGTATGGATCGACAAGGTCCCTAGCCTTTATATTGGGGATCAAAAATACGTAAACCCAGTATAGTTTTGAAATCTGGATAATTGTAAAATATGTAACATAAAATCTGTAAAAAGGTTCGTAAACACTAAAGACACTGTGCAATTTATTGTAAAATGTTATTATTTAACTGACAGTTAAGTTAGCCAATGAAATTGTTACGCATTGTACATTCCATTTAACTGCTTGCAGACTTTGTAAAAAAAAAAATAAATAGCATCTTCGTAAATGTATGGATTTAATTATTTACCATTCATTTCTGTTCGGAACTGGAATTTAGACGTCTTTTCAGAAGGGGTCTTGTTTGCATACCGTTTCTTAAATTGGCGAAAATGATCACTCCTAAGTTGCAACCACTAGTCGTCTGATGGGTTTTAAGTTTGGGTCAACAAATTCACTCCGAGCATCAGTGCCTCTTCTAGGGGGAACCTCCTACAATGTCCCGTCATTACTACTTGGACTTTCGATAACGACTTGTTGAAGTAGAAAGTACTTGCACACGTACAATTTTTTGTACTTCTTTTTTTTGCGATCGCCCTTCTCTAGGTTTTAATGGCCCAGCTTTGATAAAGCACCTCTAAATAAATTGATAAAACAACTTATTTAAGATTCACAAAATAAATGATGCAGAATCAAGGTTCCGTCATTTATCTTGTTAAACTTAAATATAGATGCTTCTCCAAAAAATCGTGTTTCATTAACAACATGTTTGGAAAAGCACCTATAAATAAATGTAAAAAAAAAAAAAAAAAAAAAAAAAAAAAAAAAAAAAAAAAAAAAAAAAACAATAACAACGTAACAAGAAACACAATAAAACAGTGGGAAACACGGCAAAAATTACGAAAGCAACCGCAGGTCGTTCCGGCTGGCGACCCAAGCCATTATCAACTGCTTAAAAAAACATTAAATTAAAAGTAAGGCTAAAAAAAACATTCACATTTGAAAAACCCATGTGACCAGCCTCAACGAACATTAGGACTGGTCCTAGTTTCAGTTCTAATTTTCGGGGCTGGCCACTCGGGTGTTTCATTAGAACTGGTATTTTAAGCCTTACCTTTGATTTAATATTTTTTGAAGCAACAGCATGGCTTAGGTCGCCAGCCGAAACGTCCTGCGGTTATTTTTGTAATTTTAGCCTTGTTTCCCACTGTTTTATTGTGTCTATGTTATCATATGTATACATACATAAGAGCCGATTCCATAGAAAGTAATTCGAGTAACACAATATTTGTCAGAATGAGCTTAAATGAGCTTAATGCACATGAGTACCAGTCATTTTGAGTCCCTCCCCGGGCTGGTCTCGTGTCTAAAAAAGGGAGGCACGTAACGCCCTGGGATTGTGGCGCTTATACAAAGAAAAAAAAATCACACAACTGATAACACCAGATGATAAGATTCCTGATAAGCCTATACGGTTCGATTATTGAAACTATATCGGCACGACAAGTAAAGACTACCTTATCCGTAAAATTTAAGGTGAATCCAGGGTTCGATTAGGGATAGTTCAAGATTAGAGATAGCGCCACCAGTCACCACTGAGAATTTCACTTTCCTTCGACGATTACTGAAATAATATTCCTCGAATTACAAAAAGCAGATCCATCAATTTCCTTGACCGGATTTTTTGCCCGAAAATGTTTTTGAGGGTTTTTGTTAAAATTACAAGCGCAGAGAAAGTACGGCCGAAACTTTCAGCTCAGCTACGGCGGCCAAGCGCGCAACCGAATCCCTCATGTTCTGTCTTTCTCTCTCCCATTGCCGCAATGGGAATTACTCTCTGCCGTAGTTACGACTTAATTTTTGGGATTTTTGAGAAGATTTTTTTAACGAGTGTTCCTCAAGTATGTTTCCATATCCCCTGGATCTCCAATCTTGAATAAGTATTACGGTTTTTCTTATTTTGGCAAATATATGCGGCTATTCTGAGCAGCGCGACGTGGTGGCCGAATCGCGAAGTTCCAAGCCTGGATTCACCTCAAGTACAGCATTTCAATGTCTTTTGGGCTGCTTTAACCTTTCAATAACAGGACCGCAGATCAAGTTTGCACGTAAATCAACAGCAACGAACGACAAAAATTGAGCATTCTGAGCGCTGACGTATGAACTATCAACCACTTCGGTATCCGCATTTTAACGAGCGAATTTTAAAGCAGCCGATAATTACCGTCACTGATTACCGATAAACTTTTCCTGCCTGGCATTACTGGTCATAAACTCAATTTAACCTTGAACAATTAAAGCTAATTAGAGGTTAAACCGAGCACTTTTATCGGTCCTCCATAAATCAGCAATAAAGGACCAAGGAGAGCAGATAATCCGCAGCTGCAGTGCGAGGATGTCAGAATTTTTTCAAATTTAATACTTTGAAAATATGGCGAATTTTCAGCGTTGATCGACGACGCTGTAGGTATCTGGTGACGAAGTGTTCTTATCCATCTATGTTTGCCACGAGATGGATCTGATTTGACGTCAGTGCGAAGAGATCGTTAAAATCATATTATCGTCGATTCGTAGCACAAGTTGTATTTTGAGTCACAGACAGTTTTTAGACGAGTTGTCACTGATGGAAAGAGCACGCAAAAAAAATTTAAAAAAAAAAAAAAAAAAAAAAAAAAAAAAAACGCATTTCCCGTAGAATAGGAGTGCGTTTCTGAAATCAAAGTCATGCCATTGAAATTTTTAGTGAAAAAGCCGAGTGCCCAGATATGCTACCGAATTTGTACAATACGACACAATTCGAAATCGAATACATGCGAACTTTGTGCATTCTCTTTTTGAGTTTCTCAATTTTCATTTTGGGAAATGTTAGTTGGACTGTCTTTGCTTGTAGTCCTATCAGTTTCCGTAAACGGTAATTATATCAAGATATATCTTGATTGATGGCCTTTAGTGACGTATGAAAGTGCTTGCGCTGTGATTACTCTTCTCTGGCGGCAGCGGGAAGTATCACAGTTATTCTCGATGACTTGGAATTTGTTAGTAGTTTCTGAAGCACTGGCTTCAGCAGATCCTTTTGAGGGACGCGGAAATCTGTAGCAGTAGTTATCTCCAGTTATTAGTAGTAGGATCGACATCAATGAGACACTTTAAGCTAGTTCTTTTTCTCTCCCCCCCCCCCCTAATCGTGAAAGTATTTTATAGCTCGCAATCAATTAAAAAAACTAAAGTTCCGAAGAATGTGTAGTCGAATCGTTGACAGTTTAACTATCTATGTTTCCTTGATGGTGACCTCCCGTCATAAAAAAACTTGTGAAAAAACTTCCAAAACTATGTTTGAACCAGTCGAACCCTCTAAACCAGAGAATTGATTAGAAACATTTGTTTTCTCCTCCGTGAAGAAAAAGCCGATGCTGAAAAAGTATAGCAGTGAAGTTTGCTCTTTTTCTTTCTCCCTTGTACTCGAGAAAGTATTTTACAGCTTGCAATCAATTAAGAAAACTTAAGTTCCGAAGAATATTTAGTCTAATCGTTGACAGTTTATAACTATCTCTATTTCCTTGATGGTGACCTCCGCGATAGTGAAGAGACCGGCCGGTCACTGAAAAAGAAAAACTGAAAATTATAAACATGTAACAATGAGTCGAATGAGCAACCATGTAGTTTTTGAGAGCAAACTAGCAACATCCTATGGAGGAAGAGTAATGGTTTTCAACGATGAAATAAACAGCTAATAGAGAGTGTAACTCAATTTTAAATATGTGTGAGCAGGAGGAGAGGGGCCGGGTGTTTGGTTGGTTGGTGTGTGACCAATGGGTAATCACCGGTCTCACCTTGAACTGGCCACTGTCAAGGCTCTCTGTCACTGCTAACCAACTACTTCTTACCGAGCTATAACAGTTTCCCAATCCAAGTGAGAAATATCAGGCAACACTAACCCAATGACCGAACTTAGTACATTTCACAAAAACCTAAAATACTTGGTAAGATTTTCTTTTTCCTGCAATCATTCAGTATGGATTGACGAATCCACTGTTAGTTTGGCTATGCTCAATGGCTGGAGACACATGGCCCACTTCTGTTCGGTCAAAAAGTTTTTTGATGAATGACATTAATTTATCCTTTGCAACCATTACGTTAATTTTCGTCACTCACTTTGAATTGTTACTGTTTCACAATGCAATGAATGAATTGAGTGAGTGAACTGCATTGTTATACCTAACAGTTCCAGGTTAAATGTTGATGAGGTCTCCAGTAAATTTGCGAGAAAGAAGATGCTAGAGACAAGCTATTTAGGAGCGTCTTTTCATGACTGAAAGTCTCCACATTTAAGTATCGTTTTACTGGTCCATTGACTGTAGATTAGCCTGAATAATCGATCGTTAATTTTACGTCGCAGATTAATCGATCATTATGGGAGTCTAAAATGAATCACGTTTCGATCGATTGATCTTCATTTGTTTTCCTGTTGTAAGTGTTTTCTGATTGATAAGATCAAGTGGATGCATATAACGACATCGAGTATACCAACTTATCGGTCACAGCAATGCAATATCTGTGGTCCCGGCCGAAACTACATTAGATCAATGTATTTAGGCATCGGATATAACAACGACGCTTTTGCGACATATTAGTCAAAGCGATGGAGTTTCCACCGAATTTTGGGTCCTGCTTTCGGTTACAGCAACCGAGGACCCACTAAGTGGCTTTGTTTTGGTATTGCTTGATCGATAAACGCACCGCAAAAGGATTTTTGAAAACATGGTAAAGAGGGAGTTAGCTTATATTTAAAGAACTGGAATGAATGGAACGAATCGACACTTGAAAACTCTTTTTTGGTCCATTAATCGGTGCAAATGGTGTACATAAACATACTGTTAAACAGAAGAAAGTTACGGACTATTTTTCATATTAACTCGTTTTTGGCTGTAGCATTGGATCTTTTTTTGAAAAAAATTTTACGTTTAAAGTGTGTCAAGTTTTTTTAGTAAAAATATAAGAGGTTTAAAACAAAATTGGTACAAAAATATGGTTTAAATAAATGACTTAATTAATTGAAATTTTGTGTATCTACGAACTCTTAGTTTTTTTCGAAGTTTTTCTCATGCAAGATAAGGTTAAAACTTAAACTTACATGATTATTTTAGATCAAAAATTTAAAAGAAAACACAAAATAGATTTAAAAAAATGTTACTGCAGTGCAAATTTTAAGAGCCTTGTTTCAATGGTGGATCACTATTCTCCATCTCCTCAACTAACAGCGTCAGTGCAGCCTTTACTCTCCACCT